AGTAAAGAAAAAACAATCTTTAATGGTTGAAATGGAATTTGCCATGAAATATAATGTCGAGAAAAACTACCTCGAATTGTGATATTAGTTGCATGCAGTAAATCCATCGTTCCTGCCAATTTTTATTGCACGCTTTGGGTTCCAAAGAAAGCACACAGCCCAAATTTATAACTTATATTTTAGTTTACTAAATTACATATTTATTTCATATATAATCGTATTATTGCCTTATTTTATTGGCAATTTTAGATTTTATTTATTTATAATAGATACCTATTATTTTCCACAAACTCCTACACAAATGATTAAAAATTCATACGAAGAACGAACCCAGTAAAATTTGAAACCCATTAGTTTAACTGAAATTTTCCATTATAAAGAAATATTTTTAATATTTTTCTAACAGTCAAAAAATGCTACGAACCTAAAGGACTTCCTTCCGTTACCGTTTGTACACAAATTTTATGCCTTATTATTATTTACAGTTTCTCTAATAAAGTATAAATAAATAAACATCAATTTAAAATCAAAACATTTGTATGCTCTTCATATTAAACTCATTTAACCTTCTGTCGTTAGAAAAATACACGATTTTTATATTTATTTAATATGATTTTTTGTCAGAAAGGCCGAGAGCGGTACATACGAGTCTACCACCAGTACCACACAACAATCCATTGTAATAAAATGTCAATAATGTTGCATGTGAAAAACGTAATCGTACGTGAGTTGAATTTAGAGTACACGAAGAATGTGTTCCAGCCGCAGATACATTGTTTAAGATATAGCGCAGCAACTACCTATAGGCAGTTTACGTGTGGCCTTTGCTCTAATAAACTGAGATAACCGTCTCTGCGTCTATTGGCATTAAATTGTTAACTTTTTTAATTTTTATTATTCATTTTTTATATGACTTTTCCTTTCCATATTTGTTTTCTTAGTGAAGCAATTTTTAGTGGTACCAGGGCCACTTCAAACACGTCATCATTGATGTCATCATTCCAATTATTCTACTTTATATGTTGTATTTTTTTGTTTTTTTTTTTGTTCACTCAAGTGCCAGTAAAATGACACTTTAATACCAGGTAATTGAAGTAGACCTGACACTTTGTATGGTAATTTTCGTTTCCCAAAATGAAAAAAGCGTATTGGTCTTCTTTACTTCAATCTCATTTTTTTTACTACATTGTGACTCCTTAATATATAACCCAACGATATTCCATTTTCGTTAAGTGTTATTATTTGCTACTTTTATGATATTCAATTTCAATAATTTCGTCTTTTTTACCACTCATTTTCGCTTTTTTCATTTTCCCATGGTAATTTTGGAGTACTTTAATGTGTATTTACTACCGGAGAAGTAGTAAAAAAGTACGTGGTAATAATGTAAAAATGATAATTTTATAACAATGAAAATGGATAAGCTAATGGAATTTATACTGCGCGCTGTAGCATCTGAAAGCATTTCTGATAGCTCTGACCAACCTGTGTGGTCACCTATAATCTTCACAAAAATTTAACAAAATTTTCACTACAATGTGGCATTCGAGTATGTTCAAAATACAAAGAATAATCAAAGAAAGAAAAAAAAGATTTATTATTATAGGGATTTTAAAAAAATGCTAATAGATAACTAAGAGAACACAAAAGATCTTTTAAAAATATTTGAAATCTAACATATATAATACCAAATTAAAATCTATTAAAAAGACTTTAATCTATGATGACTCTTTAATCGTTTAAAAGGATCTATCCTTCCCATTTCACATTACTACACATATGTTACCCTTGTACGGCTAAGAAGAGAATTTTTGTTGAATATTCAGAAAAAGTAATTAAAAGTATTTAAAGATTTTATTTTGTACGACATAATCCTACTAATAATCCTACTATTCAGCATGCGCGATATCTTCATAAGGCTTACGCAGTGTGTGTCTAATCTAACCATACTTCTTTCTTCTTATCTTGCTGTTAACATTTGTTAATTGAAATGTAGGTTAGGTTAGGTTGTACCGGCGATCCCAGGGGGATCCACTTAGGCCTATAGGTCCATTGTGATACCGGATTATTAAGAATTCATGGGCTAAAACCATCTAAAACCTTTAATAGGGCTTATGATGCTATATAGAGGGAGGTTTCGAAGTTCATCAAGATCATCAAAAAAGAAAGCCCTCAAAACTTTAAGGTGATGTCGCGCATGTGCGGACAGAAACAAAGCAGGTGGGAGGCACTTTCGTTATCCTCACCACAACTGCAACAAAAATGATAGAATGGAAGATTCAGTCTCCTAGCATGATTACCTAGAATAGAATGACCTAGAATACAATAATTGAAATGTAATAATATAATAATTAATTAAGAATTTAACTTAATACTACAAAGTGCACTTATCTTTCTGTTGCTATTTTTTAAAATTTGATACAGTTGAAAACAATACATAAACCTTGTAGAGAGAAAAAAATCACAACTACTGTAGCAGTGAAAGTAAAGAAAATAAGAAGAAAAATAACAGTGCTATTAAAACTGTGGCGAATAAGACGATTTTCAATAGAAAAGTTCCCATAAAACATTTTCAATGTTAAAATGAAAGGCTATTAGAATTGATATTAAGAAATTTTATTCGTAAATGTGTGTAGGGTGGATGAGTACATTTAAAAAAAAAAGCAGCATTAAGAAGAAAAGTAGGAAGAATTGTTACCGTAACTTTGTACAAATAAAGCATAGGAAATGCCTGAAAATAATATATAAAAAAAAAACAAAAATGAGACTACAAGTAAATATAATTTAAAATGGAATTTGTGGGTTGTTTTATTTCGGTAACTTCTTTTGTTTCGTGCACGTGAAAGAATTTTTTGTTGTTGTTGTTTTTATACTGTATATTCTATCTTTTATTTGTGCCGAAACTTCTGGGAATTGCAGATTTTCTGCCATTTCAGTTGTGTGTTTATGTGCTTGTTTGTTTATATAATGTTTTCAAACTTACATGCTTTGTGTTCTTGTTATTATGGAATAAAAAGCTTGTTCTGCCCTTCGGTTGACACAAAAAAGTGACCCAGTTGATTTGACCAAAAGCATTTGGAATATGAAATTTATGCGCAGTGTGCAGAAACTTAATTCGTAAATATGCTGCAGTTTTTCTTTTGCAAAATATGTTTTAAGTTTATTTAAATAAATTCAGTTTGTTTAAATCGAAATTTATTTACCTTATCATGTGCAGTATTTTAAATTCTCATTGTACCAACTAACTTTTCATGTTTTAACTTTTTATTTACAATCAAGTATTTTCGTTTTCTTGTCTCTTACAAGTACCTAAAGTATCTGTATATATTATATCTTGTACATATCTTGTGCATTTTTCTATATAACTTTATTATACCTAATACTTTTCATTTTTTTTTATTTGCTTTTTTGTATTTTTGATTATTGCAATTTATTACTTTGATTTGTTACATGTTTCGCATTATTATGGTTGTTATGTTTTTTTTAATAGAACCAATTAAAATTCTGACCTGTGTTTCGGTATGAAATCATGGCAATTAAATAATGACTGCAGTTAGGAAACCAATAAACTATAGTTCGTTTAAAATTCAAAAATTAAAATATATCTATAACTAAATGATATATTTTAATTTGTATAGACGTCACACGTAATCAATCTCTTTGATATATAATTATGAAAACTCTTGGACACTTTTAAGTTGTAGAAATTTTCGATTAGTTGTTTAAAATGACGCTTTAATCTAGTTACATTCATGGCAGTGTATCTGTTGTTCTGTTCATCTAACATTTTTTATATATTTCATATACATATATGTCAAATCAGATCACACTCTATCTGTCAAGTCATTAAAACAGCCAGTGTCAGTTAGGGTGATCTTGCTATTTTGGCAAAATATCTAAAAGTGTTTTAAATTAATCTCAAGTATTATATTTTGCGCGAATTTACAATTCAAAAATTGAAATATCACTAAAAGTGAATAAAAACAATTTTAGTT